GGGGGGGGGGGGAGAGATGTTCTAGGGCCTATGAATTGTTCCAGAGGAGGGAGCTTCTCCCTCTCAGGTGGATTGGAGGGCTGCAGGAGATGGTGGGTCCATGAAGAGCTTATTTTAGTAGCTAACAACTTGTTTTTACCATTTACATAGATATTTTAAAACTTGAGTTGTGCTCTCCTAATATCAAAGAGAGCCTTTTTGTGTGTAATGTACCTCACCTTAATACAACCAAAGCTGTTCAAGGTTACAGCAACAGCTAATGACTCTTACATTCAACTATTTGTTTTTAACTTTGCTTCCTCCCTTTTATCTTCAGTGTCCCTTAGTCATGGCCATTGGGCATGCTCAGTAACTAGAGTAAGATTGGAGAGTAAAGATGCTTTTTCATCAGCAGTCTCAGTCTTCAGGGCTGGGAAGAGACACTGTTCTAGGAACCCCTCTTACCACACCTCATACAACAGATTTCTACCCTTGCACAGCTGCTGCTGACACTGCTAATCCACAAGCAGGAGCTTTTACAGAGAAACTCAGTACAGTGTGCCAAACTGGAGATCACAGCCATGGCAATTTATGCAGATACTTTGCCTATATATTGATCTGATCACACCCAATTTTGAGAGCATCTCAGAGTTCTCAGAGCTGTTGCAGAGATGGTGTAGTATTAAATTCCCTGAGTTTGGGAGTTGTTTAAATGCAGATGATTTTAAGGATTAACTGAGACTGTAAGTGGCACATATATAAGTGCTCAACAAATGGTAGTTGTTATGAGGTTCTGTACACTTCCTTATGAGATCCTATACACACTTTTCCAAATACTGGCAGTGCACTGATACAGCAGCCCCTTAATTTATATATGGAGAGTGGGAGATGTTGCAATATTAATTTTTATACATCCTTAAGTTGACCTGCAAGTTTAATAAGAGAACATTTATTATGTGCTCAGCACTGTCTGAAAGTCTAATTATATCAATGACTCCTTACAACCCAGTGAGGTAGACGTTTTACATATAAGGAACCCAAAGCTCAGGGCAGCTGTGGGCTAGATTAATGGAAAGGAAAACAGGGTGTGCTAGTGGTCAGTCAGCATTCTAGGTGGGCTCTGACTTCAAAGACCTCTCTTCAACTGAAACTGAACCGCCAGAGTTAGCCTTCAGAATTTCCTCTTTAGCTTTGAAGAACTCTGTGAAGATGTTACAAATTACAGCAGATAATCCCCATTCGTGTTTTCTAAGATTTATTTAATGAATATGAAAGAAATTAGCTTGGCTTCTATTTTCATGTTATAACAACTGTATTTGAAGGTCAATGCCATGGAATTATGTATTTCCAGGTTACTTGGTCAGATAGTATAACCAAGGCAAAATGAGATGTGGTTTATATTCATACATTTGGACAGGTCAGTTAGTTCACATGATTGGGCCGTTGTCTACTGAGGCCAAGGTCACAGGTTTCCTGTATGTGAAGACCAGTACCGTACCCAGAGACCTTCCTGGCACAAACTGTGTCCCTGACCTTATCCAGTTATCTTTTTAACACATGTCTTCAGGATCTGGTTCAGAGAGTGATTGGCACAGAAAAAAATCATCTTCGTGCATGGAAAATTCGAAGGATGTACTCTGAGTCGGTGGTATGTTGAGAGAAATTGTTATGGTTTCTTATTCTTAGGTCAGTTTTGGCTCATTATAAGACATTAACTTCTACCTATAATTGGTTTCGTTTGTTAATATATTCAAACCTTAATTTCTGTAGCACTGCAGTCTCCAAACCTGTTGACTACTGCTGAGTAAAATGAGTGTATACGTATATTGTGGAGGAAAATGACATCACCATTAGATATGTTGGCCCCTGAAATACATTTTTTAAATTGATTTTACAGACAGACAGAAAAGAAGAGCAAGAGAGAGAAAGACTGATTTGTTGTCCCACTTATTTATGCATTCATTGGTTGCTTCTTGTACATGCCCTCACCCGAGATGGAACTCGCAACCTTGGCATATCTGGACGACGCTCTAACCAATTGAGCTACCTGAAAAAATTTTTTTTCTTTTTAAATTGGCTCAATATTTATTGTAGTGGTAAGTAAAGTAAGGTGTACAAGAATATAGATATATTTCACTTGCCTCATTTAAGTTTAAAGTACACAAGTGCTTTTTATTCCTTTTGAAGCTCTGCAATGTGTTCAGCCTCATGATTATTGTCTGTCTTGGTTAGAAGGAGCCCTTGTGGAATCAGCTTGTACAGGGTGATCATGTTAAAAACTTTTTTCCATGTACTGCTTTCAGTGGGAGAGGTGAAAATTATTAAGACTGCTTTCGATATCCATTCTCTTTCTACAACAAACAGGCTAAAAATAATGTGCTGGTTCAGAAGAATTAAAAGTCAGTTTAAAATGCCAGCACCTATTGTTTACTATAGAAAGTGAGGCTGGCAAACCATTTCAGACACTGAGTTATTTGATTGCAAGGAAGGGAGGGAGGGTCTTACTGAACCATCAAATTAGAGGAATATTGCCGTTGTTAATAGTTTTCATGTTCCAGTCCATTACAGCTCTAGTCTGGCAAACATGTAATTTTTCAAAGCTATTCAAATAGCTTTGATCAGAAATGACACATACAGGGAGGGAGAGTGAAAATAGCCCTGAAGGTGGGTCAGATAAGATCAGCATGGGGAGGAACTGCAGGGCCTCAGGTAGCAGAGCCATGGTGCGCCTATCACAGCACTCTCCAGGAGAGCCAGGCTGGGGGTTTTGCGTCATCCCTTCACTTCACTGTAATCCCAGATGCTACAGGGAGTGAAAGATCCTCCTCCCAGTCAAACCAGGGAGAAAGGTCAGAATAAACATTCATTTGTTTAGGACAGTAGAGGGTTGAGACCTTTGGCATTACCCAGAGTACGATCTATTCCATCGATTTTCAACCTTTCCATCTCATGGCACATTAACTACTAAAATTCTGCAGCACACCAAAAAATATATTTCTTGCCAATCTGACCAAAAAGAAAGTATAACATTGATTCATTCACACTGGATGGCTACTGTGGTGGTGACTATTTTTTTTTTTTTTTTTTTTACAATCTAAGGGAAAAGAGGTCTGTGCCCTGACTAAATAGTCAGGTATTGCATGTTTTAAAAATTCTTGTGGCTCACCCGCTGAAAATTGCTGATCTTTTCCAATGAACTAAGGTTACCACCCAGGAGATCTTATATGAACTGGCAAGGGTTTTTTGTGTGTTTTGGTGTGTTTTTTTAAAAATTGATTTTTAGAGAGAGAGAGAGGAAGGGAGAGAGACAGAGACAGAGACAGAGACAGAGACAGAGACAGAGACAGAGACATTGACGTGAGAGAGAAACATCAATTGCCTGACGGGGGATCAAACCTGCAACCTAGGTATGTGCCTTGACTGGGAATTGAACCCGAAATATTTTGGTGTATGGGGTGACACTCCAAGCAACTGAGCCACCTGGCCAGGGCTGAAGTGGCAGTTTTCAAAGAACTGGTTTTCAAGTTGTACTCAGAGGTGACCCTGTAACCACCACAGAGGGTGAGAGGGAAGCACGGGTGGGGCCTGGTGCCCCTGTTCCAAAAACTCCACTTTTATGTGTTTTATGGGTTTTTAAATGTTGAATACATTTTTTGAAACAGATACACCTTTTGCAAAACTTAAACACTACTGAAATATGTTACTTTTTAAATACAAACTTCTGAGTAGCATTTAAAACTTTTCTGAATTTTAAAGTTCTGTGGAATTATTGTTATAACCATTAGTTATTCCAACCATTGTGAGTATGGCCGAATCAGGAGAGACAGCGCAGCATCTCTTCCAGTGGTTTAAAAATAATTACCTGATATAAATTTGTTCTATTCTCTTTGGACTTTCTGTTTTTCTTTGGAACAACTGGGAGTTTGTTGACATTCTTTCAAGCGTCCCTTGCTATACACTGCTGCGTTTCACTGCCCAGGTTACTGCTTCCTGGGGCACATGTTGCCTGGTAAGACTGGAAATAAGTAACTTTTGTAAAAGTGCTCACAGAGCCAAAATAGAAGTCAGGATCTACCCCAAGACTTTTAAAATGAGAAATCCTCAAAAGAAAAACACATCAGATCCAACCACTGCTTAGGGCGGGCCTATGATAAATGCAAATCACAGACTTCCTTTTTCTCCTGCCACAAATGTCAGAAACGCTTGGCATCTGAGCACGCTGCATTTTCCCCTCCCTTCTGTACAGCTCAACTTGGAAAGGCCAGCATATCCCTTTGGGAAAAACCTTTTCTTATAAATTGGAATGTTTGTCCACATAACTGTAGGAAATGTTGAACACTTGCTTTGATGGGAAGCGATTTGTCCATTAGAGTGGATTTGTTCTTTTTTTCCATTTTCCTGCCTGTTTGTACATCACAGGCACCCAAATTACGGGAAACAACTTAGAGGAGTTTCTTTCTATGGGATCGGGTCATCCTGTCCACAAAAGCAGCCAACGCCTTGGGCTTCCGAAAGGCAAACTATGTTCCATCTTGTATTTACTCCAAGGGACTCATTTGTGAGAGGCTGTTCTGAATAAAAGCAGTAATTTTCCACAGACTATACATACAGAAGCCTTGGAGAAGGGTAGGGCTGGGGGAGAAAAAGGAAAACAGAGTTAACTGCTGGGGGTGGGGGATGGGGAAGGAAAACAGAGTAGCTGCTCCAGGACCTCCTGTTTCACCTCGGCACAGATTTGTGTCATTGTGGATAGGACATGTAGTTATCTTTTGGTTTAAAAAAGGATACAGGTCATTAAGACAACAAAGCAATTTGCTATTTGTTGATCAGCTGCCTCCAATTTGATGATCAGCATAAATATTTGTGGTTCGTGGAGGATTCTTCTTTACCAGGACCCATCTTTCCATCCATCTTGATTTGATAAAAACAACAACAACAACAACAAACAGTGCTGAATCTATGTGGTTATATTGATTTCTGTAGCAACAAGTGGAGACCAAAAACACCCTTAAAATTCTTCTGCAAGTGAAAATGCATCGATTTAGCAATGACTAAAAATAAACACAAGGAGGGACTGTAAGGAAGATAACAGCATCTAGGTATTGGTTTGGGCTGGACTTCAGGAAGGGACCTGAGTCAGCATGGCTCATTATTTTGGGACAGTTCCCGTTATTCACCTCCAAAAATAGTTTCCTTTCCATTTTGGCCAAATCCCTGTAGGGCTGTGTGCTAAGTGCCCACGTGTGTTCCGATGGAAGCAATGGCCTTGCAGAGGCGAACCACCTCCCCACACGTGCATCCTCGCGCCCGACGTCCTTTTCCCATCTTCTCCAGGGCTTCCCTCCTTCAGTTAACCCTCTCTTCCAGGTCATCAATTCCCCTCTCTAGGGCTGGATCACAAAGTGTATAAACGTGCTCCATCTCCTCTCACTATTGAAAACTAAAACAAGCCCCTGTAATCCACATCCCCTTGTAACTACCACCCACTCCCCTACCCCCCTTCCCAGTAAAACTTAAAACAAGTAGCTGCATGCATCAATTTCTACTTTCCCTCTTCTAGGCACTCTCTGGCCCACTCCAATCCGGCTTCCATGCCCATTTCTCCAAAGAAATGATCTTAACAGTCACTAAGGTGTTGTGGTCAAAGCCAGTGGACATGTACCTGTTCTCGTGTTACTCGGAATTCGCAACACAGTTGACCATTCCGCTCTTGAATCACTCTCCCTCTCAGGTTCATATGCCCCAGGTCATCTGGTTTACCTCCGCCCCCCGCGAGGCCTTCTACCCGGCTGTTTTGTTGGGTCTTCATCTTCTGTCTAAAGCTGGAGGTGCCCTGGACCCAGTCTTTGGCCTTCTTTCCTTCTTTCCACTCTTCCTGGGTGATTTCACCCATCCCGTGGTTTTTAATAGTATATAAATGCTGAAGAACTCCAATTTTATAGCTCTAGCCCTGACAACTCCCATGATTTTCACATTCATACATACTTGACGTTTCCACATGGGTATTTAATTGACATCTCAAGTTTATTTTCCCAAACTTGTTTTTCTTGATCTCTTCCTGTTCTCAGTAAATGGCGCCATCGACACAGGTGCTCAAGCTAAAAGCCTGAGAATCGTCCTCAGTTTCTTCCTCTCTTCCTTAGACCCTACCTCACCCCTCCCCACACCTAACCTATCAGCAACTCACAACAGTTCTATCTTCAAAGCCGTGTCTCCAGTTATTCAACTTAATCTCTGGATCTACTTCCACCCCCAAATTGTCATAATTACTCACCTGGGCTATTTACAATAGATCTCTAAGTGGCCTCCCTGCTTCTGTTGCTCCTATCTGCTCACAGTGCCTTTGCCTTCCACTCAAAGCAGCCAGAGAGGAGTGGGGTGGGGAGGGGGGACAGAAGGAGGGGGGAAGAGGGGGAGAGGAGAGGAGGGAGAAACCAGATTCTATCGTTGCCCTGTTTAAAGTCTGTTAATGTGTCTCATTGCACTGGGAATACACTCAAACCAGCCCTACCATGACTGCCATGGCCCCGCAGGAACTAGCTTCTTGTCCTCTCTCCAAACCTCCCCTTCCCCTCACTCTGCTCGAGCCACACTGGTCTCCCTGATGCCCTAGGACATGTTGAGCCCTTTTCCGCCTCCTGGCCTTTGCATTTGTTCTTTCTGCAACATTTTACCCCCCCCTTTTTCAAGTGACCAGCTCTTTTTCATCCAGCGCTGTCACTTCCTTAGCGAGGTGTTCCTTCCCTTCACCTATTTCCTTGGCAGCACGTAGCCTATCCGCTATCTGCATGGTCTCGGTCATTTGTTGGCCTACTCTGTGTCTTTCACAGGGGAAGAAACCGTCTCCTCCACTACTGAAGACCAACCCAGTAAGGTGCCTAGCATGTGAGCACCCCGTGAGAACTGGTTGCATAAATTATTTCATTTAACAGCTATTCTTAGAACCCTTACTATGTGCCACATATTGTTCTAAGTTCTTGACCTCATCTGTGAACAAATGGGAACACAGATTCCTGCCCTCGGAGAGCTAATATTTTAGTGGGGGGTGGGCAATAACCAAGACATAGCAGGTAAAAGTATAGTGTTACATTTAAATTCTGAATGAGAACCCAGGATATTCTCCAGGCCTTATCCCTTTGTGTGGTCAAGTGAAAAGGTATTTGCTTTGCAGACACTTGAAATCCCGGCTTCTAGAGATGAACTGTGACATTCGGAGCAATGACCTCTTCGAGGCTCAGCTCCCTCACCTGTAAAACAGAATCATACCCCGCCACAAGACTGGTGTGAGGGATAAAACATTTATTTAACTGGAACCACTAATCTTTACTGTCATCATGCCGAAGTGTGAGGATACAAACAATCTCCAATAAAACACTATATATAATAAGCAAAAAATAAGTTAATACATCGTAAACTTACAGTTTCACCAGCGAACAGGTTTAGGAACGAACGAGCCACTAGGCCTCGGAGCTACTGTTTAGTAGAAAACTGCAGACACTCAAACCTTATCAACCCCAATTAAGACACGAAAGGATCGGTCAAGACTCCTCTACACCAAGGACACAAATACACGTTCGTTTTTGGTTACAGTGCCCTGCTATGCACAAGCCCACCGGGAAGCTGGAACAATCACACACTGGGAAACGGCACAAAGCGCAGCAAGGAGGTAACAGGCCGGCCCGACAGAAGCCGTCTTGCAAAGTGCGAACTCTGCATTTTCTCTTCCTGAACCACCGGGGTAGGAACGGGGACCTCTGACGACACGCGGGGCCACGAGCATGCTTTCTACACCACACTGGTGGGGCTGGGACTCGAACCGAGGTCTCCATGCCTTCGAAGATAACCTCTGGTCCTCAACAGGGAACAGGCTTCCACTCAATATATAGTGCAAAATACCGAGGAGCAACACGACAGAACAGAGCCCGGCCTAGGTCGACCAGCTGTTTCTCTGCCTGGCACCACATCACATGGGACAGCTTGGCACATGGGGACAGACCACGTCTACCTAGGTCTTGACCTGAAAGGCCGAGCGGCGCAGCGAGTGCAGGGCAACCACACAGCAGCCCCGGAGCAAGGCCCCGATGTTGTACAGGGGATCCGTGCCCCCTCTCTGAGTACTGAACACCCACAGGACGGTGGGGACCACGGGCGCAGCCACGGCCAGGAGATCCACCAGGAAGCTGCGGCTCCAGTGCTGCCTCCCGACGGCCCCCCACACCGGCGGGGCCGCGCCGTCCAGCCTTTCTTCTGCAGGGCCTGCGAAATCCAGCTCTCTCATGAAGCGGTTTGCAGGAGCCAGAGTTCCCACCGTGGCGCGTGGGGTCTCCACAGGAGACAAAAGGATGGCCGAATTTGGATTCCTTGGAGTTAAGTCAACCACTAACGCAGAGGTGGACTCTGGGAAGCTTTCTGTCGAGCCAGCCACAGACTCATCGGGGGATGCTGGGCTCCAGGGACCGGGGTCCTGGAGCTGGAGCACGTACTGAATGAGCTCAGAGATCGCGGGGCTGTAGGGAACCACGTCGGTCTGCACCGATCGCTCCACCGCCACCCGGGCCTCCTCCAGATCCAGCCCCGTGGGGAGGGTCTCCAGGGCCTTGGCCCCGGGGGTGAACTGCAGAAGCTCCAGGTCGCCAGCCTCTGTGGCGGTGGTGGTCCCCAGCTCATCCAGCAGATCTGTGCTGTCTGCGGGGCTATCCCCCACCAGCAGCTCGCTGTCGGCCCCTTCCTCGGAGCCCTGCTCTTCCAGAGACAGCCCATCTGCCGTCTTGCCAACAGGGGTCTCTCGGGGGAAGCTTTTCTTCGGGGAATCGCATGGGAAGTCCAGACCCAGGTCATCCCTCAGGGAGCCACTGTGCGCCATCTCCATGCTCTGAAGGAGGGACTCCAGCTTCTTGTTCTGAATGTTTATGTCCACGAAGTACTTCTGAATGCCTTTATCTTTGTCGGCCAGGCTGCTCCTCATGGTCTCGATGACCTGTTTGAGCTGCTTAATCTCCTTCCTGGCTTCCTTGAGGGCCAGCTGGGCCTCCACGCGGTGGCACTCTTCTTCAATCCAGTCCTCTCGCATGCGGGCCAGCTGGGCCTTCAGCTCCACAATCTCCGTTTCCCTGCAGGGAGGAGAGGGGCAGAGGCTGAGAGAAATGCCCACTCGGAGCCAGGTGGCAAGCAATTCCCACACACAGCCAAGAGCCCAGCTCTTATACTTGAAACACAGGCATTAGCCCTAGATGACCCCACCCCAGTTGTAAAATAGCTAAAATAATCATAGTAACTAGAATCGGAATAAAAAATGCCACTGTTGTGGGGTTTTTTTCTTTCTTTTTTGAGCGTCACTACATGTCAGACATTGCATTAGTACTTTACAAAGATTGTACTTTAGTTAATACTTAATATTTGAAAATTTATTATTAGAACCCATTAGAGTCTCTTAGTTACCCTTTTATATACCTACACTTTGTGGGAGGAAAGTCCATCTCACTTTTAATCACCTATCAAAGACGGCAGAACTGTTCTGATCATATGCCGATGATAATTTTACAAAATTAAATCATCACATGCTACATGTTGCAAGGTCTTTGTGAAAAGCTGATTATTCTATCTCCTCTCAGGTAAGATGATACCAGCTCCATCCTACACTGAAGAGAATCTATCCTATTCTCTTAGATCCCTCACCAGATTGACTCTATTTCAAGATCTTTGGTGAAAAAGATCCTTGAATATAATTTCTTCATGTGTCCTCACATTCTCAGTGGATATGAAGACTGGGAAGTGAGGATCCTGAAGAGATGTCAGTGCTGCTGCTTTAAGTTTAGGCTTGAATGGTCTCCGGTTTCTCTGCCTTCATACCTCCCTCCCGTGACTGCTCAAAGCCTCCCATGGTTTCCTCAAATCACACTCCAAATGCTTCCAGAAAGCAGGGTGTGACTCCTGGCAACCCTGCCCTGGGTTACCGTGGTCAGAGCTCTGCCCGTCCATCCTACGACGTCCCAGGAGAAGACCATCAAGCGGAGAATGTGGCCTGCTCGCGGAGAACGTGGCCTGCTCGCGGAGAACGTGGCCTGCTCGCGGAGAACAGGGCCTGCTCCAAGGCGGCAAACGGCCCTTCTCTCCGAGATAAGATCTAAGCTTCGGCTGCTTTCTTTTGTTTTCATTTTCACCTTAATGCTTGGCCAAGAATAATGAGCCTCTTCCTTCAGCACAGGAATAGCTTGTGGGAGTCACAGTGCACACAGCCCTGCGCGCTCCCACAGGGATGAACAGAGCCCAGTGGGGGCTCACTGTGTGTGACGCATTGGGCTGGAAGTCGGGATTGTTCCTCTAAGTGTTCCTGCCATTTAAAAATAGTCAGGCACACACCCAGCTCCTCGTGTCGAAGCTGCACACACCCGGAAAACGTAGGCCGTCCCCTCCAAAGTAGGAGGGTCCCCTGAACTCCTGGAACGGCCAAAGCTTTTGAGACTGATTTATGAAATATGACAGAAATGAAATAAAATCACATTTTTCCTTTTCTATTTTTCTATAGTGTGGTTTGATATTTCATTTTATAGGAGAAAAAAAACCAAACCCAACTGCCCTAAACCACCGTGTGCGAGGAATGCGGACTCACCTCTCGTGGAGCCGGCGCTCAGATTCCTTCAGCTTGGTCTTCAGGTGTCTCACTGTCACCTCTTTCTGCTGCAGGGGAGTCAAATACTGCTCTGGATTTGGGGGCTTCACCCCATGATTTTCACCGCAGGACATGTACCTTCCCGACCGCCTGAAACCACCCGAGTAATGAAATGTTACTTTTTGCCCCGTTTCCTTTTGTATAAAAAGAACAGTTAAGGCACAGGGGAGCGCTTGAGAAGAAATGGCAGCTGTGTGTTGGGCTCTTACACCTCAGTAATGTGCGACCTCACAGTGAGGGGGGGTGGTGACCTACCTGCCCGTCTTAGGATGCTCATTACTTGGAAAATTGTGGTGGTGTTTGTGGAGGGCGACAGGGGAGAGGGAGGATTTTCCACGGCTTCTGGATGATCTCATACCAAATAATGCACAACTGCCCACGGGCCTGCCGGTCAATTCAGAGTAACAGGCTGATATATGACAATGAGTGAGGGCAGGCGGGAGGGGAGGAAGGGAGCCAGGGAGCGAGGTGACCGAACTTTCCACACAATGCGCCCCTAAGATCCCGATTGTTATTAGTTGAATTCAGATTGTTCTGAAATCACTCCCTGGGGCGAGCCTGCTGATTCCATGGGAAGTTGCCTTTTTCTGGCGGGAATGAGGCTGTTCCACTCTCACCAGAGTGTGTTTCGTAAGAGAGGTGCCTGATGTTCTACAAACCGCCCTGAGCGGGAAGCCGGGCCCCCGTCGGGCCTGACCAGGAGCTGGCTTCCCTGCTGTGAGAGTGCTGGCAGATGAGGACAGGACGCCCAGAGGAAGGGGCTCAAAGAGGATGGCTGGCAGCCTCTTCCCTGACTCTGGACCCAGCCCAAGCCACTGCGCTCGCCCTGCTCCCCCCGCGCCTGCACTCCATCCAAGATGGCCTGAGTCCAGGTCCCAGCCCTCCAGTCCTCCTGTCACTGCCCTTCTGGATGTGCAGTTCCTTCTTTCTGCCTCCCCACCCCCACCCCCCAAGGACTAACGCGTTCCTTGTTTGGCCTTCCGATCTCATTTCTATTTCCACTTTCTCAGCGAGGCTTCCTCTAATCCCTCCAGACTTGAGTTGGGCCCCCTGGCCATCTTTTACACACCCATGTGCTTGCAGAATCATCTTAATGTGTTGTTGTCATTAGATGAGTAAGGTCTTTCTCCCCCTCTGGGTGGCACGCACAGGGACCTCTCTGTTGTTTACTGACTGCTCTACTCCCAGCACGTCACACAGTGCCTGGCACGAGGTGGAACTCAACCCATAGCTGGCATCTGAACGAACATGAGCAATTCCGTTTTCCCTCCCTATCCCGTCACTACTTGGACCGCTGAAGCTTAGGAGAGATTGTGGCTTGTGTTCTTTCTGCTGCAGCCTTAATCAATGAGCTGAGTGTGGGAAAGAGAAGTGTCTTTTTGCAGAATAAGACAGTGGATCACGAGTTGCATAACTATTTTTAAAAAAAACATGTCTATTGATTTCAGAGGAAGAGAGAGGGAGAGAGAGAGATAGAAACATAAATGATGAGAGAGTCATTGATCGGCTGCCTCCTGCATGCCCCCCACTGAGGACTGAGCCGACAGCCTGGGCATGTGCCCTGACCTGGAACCAAACTTCGATCTCTTGGATCATAGGTCAATGCTCAACCACTGAGCCACACTGGCTGGGCACTATTTTTTATTTTTATTTTTTAAGGAACCTTACTATGTAGGACAAACTAGGAACCATGAACTGAAAGATGATCAGTACTCACCTCATGATTGGGCTGCAGTCACTTCCTTTGTAGGAGCCAGAGTTGCTGCTACTTGGGGAAGAAGGCACATAGCTGGGATGGATGCTGACAGGACTCAGCTGATTCCTGCACAGCATGGACAGAAGGTCCTTCTCCCGTGGGGACGGTGGGCTGTTGCCAGACTTGTGCGATGAAGCTCCATTACTCCGCCCGTGGGGACCTCGGCTGGGGGAAAAGCACGAAGAAGAAAAAAAAGTTAAAACCTTTGGGACTGCTGGTGCCCAACACTAATGCTTTACTCCTTAGAGCTAGTTACTACGAAGGAGATCCCGCTCACGGAGTGGAAAGAGGCAGTGCCGTTATTAGTGCGAACTGCCCTTGCGAGCGGCCTTCTTTCACCTGCCCAGCTCTTCCTCTCCTCGTGCGATCAGCACAGGCAACCTCTCCCTCCGCGGCTCTTTCAGGTGGTTTCTGACCACAAAGCTTGTTTTGGATTAAACCCAACTGCTGGCTAGGAACACAAACTATGTAAATATTGATTTGGTTTAGGTTCGTTTTTGAAGCAGTTTTGAGGATGTGGTTTTTGCTCCAGTATACCTCTTTCAGCTTCAGGCTGGGGTAAGAAAATTGGGGTGGTTTATTTAGAGGATGCGGGAGAAGGGGGTTGCCCATAAAGAAGGGGGAGACAAAGGCACAGATAAACATAGCCCACGTGAATGTATCACGTCTATCATTTTAACCACCTAATTTTTTTCCCTTTTCTTTCCATCCCCAATAACTTAGCATAACCTTTATCTTTTAATTGCTGAAATGTTGTAACGGCCCCCTCTTCCCTCCCCATCTCTTGTCTTGCCCCCTCCAGCAAGGAGGCTGACCCCGAGGCTGGAGTGGCCTCTCTAAAATGGAATTTGAATATCGCTGCCCTCCCCAAAGCCATTCACTGGCTCCCGGCTGCCTCCAGAATAAACGCCAAACTCCTTCATGCTCACAAGGTCCAATCCCACCACCTTGTCCCACCCCTCGTCTGCCACTCACCCCTTCTATTCCAGGGTTCCACGTGACTTACAGTTTCCTGATGATCCACGCTCTCCATCATCTTTATATTTTTAAACTTATAATTTTCTCGGCCTAGAATGTTCTCTCTCTGCTCCCTACCCTAAGTCTCTGGATACCTCCTACTTCGAACCTGATGGGAACCCACTCCAATCAGCCTTCTCTGGATCCTTCCTTCCTGAGGCCAGTGGAGGTGCCACTCCTTGCTGCTCCCTGATACTGTGTGCAAACGTCCATCACGAAACTTATCACATTTCATTGCAACTGCAAACTTGTTTGTCTTTCCCACCAGCCGAGGGCATGCCGAGGGCAGGAACTCAGCCTGGTCTTTCATACCCCTGCTGCTGGCTGGCACACCCCAGGTGCTCCCTGAATGACTGATAACAGAATAAACTGGGTTTACGTCTGGGCACTGCCACTTACTTGGAACTTAGGCAAGTAAGCCCTTACTCTATGGGGATATATAATCACTTATCCTGTTTTCCTCATGGAGGTGATATGAAAATCAAAGAATGCATATGAGTATGTTCGATAAGCGTTTAGGGCAATTCAACTAAACGCTTGTGGGGTAACACTTTAGAATAAACTTCTTTCGCCCTCCCTGTTAATCTAATTCCAGAGGAAGCATTTTGAGAATGTTGAAATTACTTAAATAGGATAACTGTCCTGTGTCAGGAAGATTTCTTAATGACATTACAAGAAAACAAAAGGGAATAAGACACCTTTCGCAGAGCAGCCCTGCTTTTTGACGGTCCCCTGCTTGCCATTTTAATCACAGCTGTGTCCAACCGACACATCTCAAAGAGAAGCGTGTGTGAACGGGAACGGGAGAGTGCATGTGGGTACCCTTGGCTCCGAAACCACAGTCATTTAAAATCAAATACAATTTCAACTAGCCGTCAGCCCAGTAAATCACACATAAAGGCAACATCACCACATTCCAATGTTAAAAGGTTCTCCCCTTTTTGAAATCATGCAAATGGACTCTGCTTCCTTTCCATGAAAAGGGGACACTTTATATAGAACAGATGGGCTGATGGCCTTGTGACAAACCAACTTCAGCAGCCCAGTGGTGGGGAGACTTCAGGAGGAGCTGAAAAGAACGTGTACTCTGGCTTGGCTTGGCTTCTCCTTGTTTCACTTCTAAGCCTGGCACCAGCTGGCCTATTTCTTAACGTGGCTGTGAAAAATTCAGAGGATTAACCATTACAGGTTAGGAGAGAGAGTAAAGAACTATCCCTAATGTTGGCCTGGGGAATTTTCTTCTGAGTTAACCTTCACCGTGGACCTTCTGTGACCCCAGCCCCGTTCCTGGTGCTTTATGAACACTGTCTCACGTGATTCTGACCATCACGCTGTTATATGGCTCATACAGTTACTATCTCCCTTTCGTGTTATGTGAAGTACTCAATGAAGTAATTGAGGCTCAGGGAGAAAAAGAAAAACTGGCCCAAGAACTCACAGCTGAACTGGGAATGATATCCAGGTCTTTGAACTCTACAGAAATGTCTCCTACTTTACACAAATGGGATGTGCTGTTTTGGGCTTGTAAACAGGTATATTAAGTACTGGCTATGTATGTGGTTATTATCTGAAGAATTCGCCACTGAATTCTTTAGTATGTGCACTAAGACATGAATTAAGTTAGAGGGGGATTTTGTAAGAACGCACCTGCTATACAGAGAAAGGCAAAAACTCTTAAGCCACTGAGCATTACTACAGCACAATCAAGTCTTCAAGTGTGTTCAAATATATTTCAGGAAGTGAATTAACAGACTGTTTGTAATAGCTACCTTGTACAAAAGAAACTACATGCTTAAACATACCTGTTCTGTGCCTTACATTTCGTTTAGTTCAAATGCTAACATATATGGGCACAAAGTCATCGTGGATGAAGGTAAAGCATTTTCAAAGGAGAAGCAGGGATTCTGTATCGGTCATGGCTGTGAACAGGCAAAGCCGGGGCTCCCCTCCTCAGCCCCCCGCAGCCCCCTGGTTTGGTGGACAAGACTGAAGTCCACAGAGGAGAGAGAGAATTCTACTGACCTCACCCATTCCTGCAAACAGGAACACGATACGTGGAAAATGAGAGAAAAGGGGAAATGAAGAAGGAAAACCCCGGAGGGGCCCAGGTGAATTTCTATTCCCCAGCCACTGTCCTTTACTACAGGTAACATTCTTATCAGCACCACCATCGTCACCATCATCATTACCATGACCACTGTATGGGCCAAACTGTGGGTCCCCCAAATCCATAAGTTGAAGCCTTAACCCCCAGAACCTAAGAATGTGACCATATTTGAAACAGGGGTGTAAAAAGGTAATGAAGTTAAAATGAGGCTGTTAGGGTGGGCTCTAGTCCAGTTTGACTAGAGTCCTTGTAAGAAGAGGAAATTTGAGCACAGGCAGGTGCAGAAACGAGACAAGATGACCGCCTACAAGCTAAGGAGAGAGACCTCAGAAGAAGCCAAGCCCGACATCTTGATCTCATACTGAGTCTCCAAAATTAGGAGAAAATACATTTCTATTGTTTAAGCCACCTTGTGTGTGGGATTCTGTTATGGCGGCCCTAGCAAACTGGCACAATGATCACCATCAGCACCATCAGCACCATCAGCACCATCAGCACCATCAGCACCATCACCACCATCAGCACCATCAGTACCATCAGCAGCACCATCAGCACCATCAGCACCATCAGCACCATCACCACCATCACCACCATCAGCACCATCAGTAACATCAGCACCATCAGCACCATCAGCACCATCAGCACCATCCGCACCATCACCACCATCAGCAGCATGAGGTGGATGCCACTGTCACCCTATTTTCCAGAATAGGAGACTGAGGTTTGGGTTCCGGGTCATGCATCTAATAAACAACGGAGGCTGAATTCAAGTCCAGGTCAGTCTGCCTCCAAATCCCAAGCTCTTTTTTTTCTTCTCACTTCCGTCTGCCTCTGATCAGATAGGGTTTTAGTTTAAGAAAGAGGATTTCTCAGAATTATCAGCAGAGTTGGCCTTCTATAAGAAGAGAGCATTAAAAAAAACATTCTCACCAACTCCACCTGTCCCTCATTTCTCCCACCCCACCTTTACCAAATGTTCCTGCCACTCTTCCTCCCAGGAGCTAATTCTCCACAGAGAAAATTCCTTTAATTATAGGAGGAATGAGCCAATGAAACAGATCACGAGCTGTTACAGAGATTGGCATGAACACTGGCTGGAGAGGAGCTGTCCCCAATGTGTGGTCCTACAGAACACAAAGATTATGAGAAATGTTGGGATATTCCATCATAGAAATCTACTCATGGCGCTCTGTGCCTGGGTCAGATTAAAAAAAAGGTGAGGGCTCTGGCCAGTGTGGCTCGGTTGGTTGGAGCGCCATCCCGTACACCAAAAGGTTGCAGGTTCGGTTCCCGGTCAGGGTACATACCTGGGTTGCAAGTTCAAGTGAGGATAATGGATAGAACATTGCCAATTTCAATTTCCCATACATTAAACATACACCTGATTTGCACGTAATTATATTTAGCTATTATATGTTTAACACCTCAATTTTTAATCACTTAGAGAAATCATGGATTCCAGACTAAAATGTTTTCTCTAAGTCACTCAGTATTAGTACCTTGGAATTTAACCACAAGCATAGGTTCCTTTGAAACACTCAATAAAACTGTCTTCTTCAGGCCATTTGTTTTTCCTTTTGCCTCTCTGCTCTTTGATACCTTGTACCATGGGTATGTGCTAATTTCTTGAGTGGGTTAGATAAATGGTTTATTCTCAGAGCAAGCCACATCTGACTTATATGGCGAATGTTTCTATTCACGTCCTGTGATCCCAGAGGCACTTTATTTCCAAAATAGATGGTGTTTGGGAGCAGAATAACTGTGCTTTTTCACTGGGAACTTCACTCTCCTGTTACAGGTTTGTCTGGCTCCAGCTCTGTTTACAATAAACTCTACACTGTGGGTCTCAGGTCCTTTTGTAAACATCAGCAAAGCTTCTGCTTACCCAAGAGGAATGGGAAATATTCATTTGCTGAGTCCTGGAAATACAAGATTTTAGAAATGGAACACTTTTTCTCCTGGAAGGGACCTTAACATCATGTAGTACAACCTCTTTTATATAAACTTGGACACTGTGGCCCAGGAGAGTAGAGTGACTTCCCCAAAGTCTACAGACAAATCATCCCGTGTCTCATGGCTCATCCATCGTTCTGTCCAGGTTTCTGCTCAGAGCTCCCCTCATTGCAGTCTCCCAGAACCCGCCTGTCTGCACCACCCACACACCCCGTTACTCTCGTATAGCCGTGCCCTGCACGTTTTAAAAGTAATTACATTACTTATATATTTCTTGTCTTTCTTTCCCTGCTAGAATGAATATAATTGTCATGTCGTTTTGTTTACTGTCCTATCTCCAGAACTTGTCTCATGGTAGATGTTCAACAAATACTTGTCGAATAAGTCACTGATGACGGCAGAGAATCCTGTCCCACCAAATGTGAACACAGGCTCCCATTTCCCCCAGTCTTCTCCCCCAGTCCATGGCAAACCCTCTTGACTCTTACTATGCTCCAAGCACTGAGCCCACACTTCACCTGTACTGACCAATGTAATCCTAACAATAAACCCTATGAGGGGGGTAGGACTATAGTCCTATTTTACAGATGAGGCAACTGAGGCGTAGAGAAGTTAAGCAACTTACTCGGAGCCACGCAGCCTGTAGGCGAAGCTGCCATTCAAACCAAGGTAGCCTGGCTCCAGAGCCACACACTGAGCTGTGTTGCCCTGTGGCCTCTTCCAGTGGTGGCCACTCATGCCTATGAACTTCACACTTCCTTCACCCCTTCCCCAAGCGAATGCTGGGGTGCCCAGATGGACGCTATGCTTCTTTCACAAAGATAAAAAAGAAGCTCGGCTAGAGGAAAGAAAGGGCGAAGTCAGAGCCTAGGTTCATGCGGGGGAGGCGGCGTGGAGGAGGGAGGCTAGCTTGATGCCCAGGTGAGTGCACAGCCGAGCGAGGAAGGGAAAGCGGAGTGGGCCCAGAGCCAAGGGCGGGGTGGGAGGGAACACGGGCCACGCCACGGGGCCGCAGGGGGAAAGGGAGAGAGAATCACCAATTTCAAGTCACTAAGAAACAAACGAGTGGGGAGGAGGGGCCCACGGGGGGAAAGGAGAGGCATCGGTAATGCTTTCAACAATAAAGATAAATTACAAAAATCACTCACTAATCAAATAGGAACGGGCAGTCACCTGGGTGGCTCCACAGAAGCCTAAAGTACAGGGAAGTCACCTGTGCAGCGTGTTAACAGTTACAGAGCAGAAGGCGGTGCGTACTTGCGTGAAAAAGAGGGCCGCTTGCTCCCCGCGGCCGACATGTGGACCTCAGGCGCGGAAATGCTGCCGGTGCTGCTGGAGGAGCTGAAATCCGCTTCGCTGCCTGCAAAGCAACGGGGGAGAAGCGTGAGGGACGGGAGCCGGGGCCACGCGGGCCAGCCCCTGCCTCCCGAGGCCCCGGCTCCCCGCGATGGCGCCCGAACTCAGCAGGTGGCGAGCTTCCAGGGCCCCGGGTCCCTCGTCTGCTTTCCCCGAAGGAGACAAGGGAAGGGGCAGATACGAGGGCTTCATTTCGTAAACGCAGCTTAGAGGCACGGCTGCCTGCACACAGACGCCCGTCTCCCGGCAGACCCGCAGCACGCGTGACCCACGGGTGGCAGACACGCGCACCCCCCGGAGTCACACGCTCCCTGCAGGACACCGGCCGGCCGGCCCAGGCTTCCAGCGAAACGAGAAGCCTGCTTGTCAGTCCCACGGCTTTTTTCCCAAGGGAGTTTATCCTCGGGTCGTAGTCAGCTAGCCGACTTGCACTTGGCACTTCAGGGCCTGGAGGTGATCAGCCGGTTAGGGGCAGTGAGCAAGCGTAGCTGCTGGGACCCACGCTTTCTGCTTACGGACTTTCTCTGACTGCAGCTGCAGAGTTTCTGCAAAGGACAGGACCTTAAGGAAAAGCAGGAACTGAACACTCGCGAACAGGACGAAAACAGTTCACAGTGACCGAACCTCTGAATTAGAGTAAAACTGGAAATGTTAGGGGTTTTTTTTTGGGGGGGGGATTGTTCATTAGTTTACAAATATCACATTATATCTTGAGTACAGGCTAGAGTTGGGTATGTAATTAGAAACATGGTGCGTGGTAGAATAATTAAGATGAACTCGGCTCCGACAAAAAAAAAAACGGTAGTTCTGAAATTGTACTGAAAATATCCCATGGGTTTCCTAAGGAAGTGAAGGGGAGGGGAAGAGAGGCAAGAGCCAACAAGTGTAAAGAAGAGAGGATTGAAAATAAACGATGACATTCCATAGGCTTTCAGAAAACAAATCTGGTGTACAATTCATTTGACCCTGACTCTCAACTCCTACAACACAATTTCTGACTCTCTGGTCTAGAACCCAGAGCCAGCTCGCATTTCTGAGTTGAGGAAAACATAAATAATGTCAATCCCTTGAGTTTCTAGCAGTCAGTGAACAATGATTCTAATTAAAACTATTTCTTGAGTGCCTAGTAAGTTCCAGGCCCTATAGGAGATGCTCCCTACTCTTTATATTTTTAACAACTTTGTAAGGCAGGCATTAATCTCACTATTCTACATTTGAGGCGACGAAAGCTGATTTGTCCAAGGTTTGTGAGCGACGAATCCTGCCCAGGACCAAAACCCTGTGCTACTTCTATGACCCGCGCTGCATCCTTAGGAAGACAGTGGAGAAAGCAGGGACACAGGAGAGTTCTAGAATAAACCAGATACTACCATCTCCCTAACTGGCAAGATGAGCCATACCTGCAAGATGTGGCCACACTGGCCCACTGCTGAACAGATCCTGTCACTGGCGGGTTGTGTTAGTTTTGCTACAGGGGAAGGTAGGCAACAGCAAGGCAGAGAGAGAGAAACCCCTCCCCTGGCTTCTAGGACCTCTCAGGAAGTTCAGCCTCTTCTGGGAAAGAGATCAAGAATGATCCCTGAGCACACAAGACGCGACTGAATTTCACCTCCCAGCAGAATTCTGCGAAGATTATGGTGGCGATTTTTCAGGACGGGATGGGCTATTCCTTCTGGATTTCAGAGACTTTGTCGAATGATATAATGAACTCTAGAAGCCCCCTGGACTTAATTAGTTGCCTCTGATAAATATACTCGCTAAACTGTAGTATTTTACAGTCTCAAGGATTCCTGATTGGCAGTGGTATCCAACAACACGCTCGTCCTGACAGCTTCATCCAACCAGCCTTGTCTGCTAGTAAATTATCAGGCTGGTTATTAAATCATAAAGATGGGTGATTTTCAAAAATAGATACTGTGGCTGCAGCCACCAGGCTTCAGATATTACTTCCTAATGTAAAATTATTACTCGGACACACCCAATTTTCATTCCTTAAAAGATACACAATGGCCATCAATCGTAATTTCGCTGCCTGCATAAAAATGGAAATCCTAGAAGAGAAACAGACAATTGCCAAAAATCTGCTGTTCCCTCATGATGCCTTTGATCTTGATCTGTGGTAATTAAGTTCTCTGAACTGAAGGGACTTTGTTCTCCACTTTATTGCTACAGGAACTAAATAATTGACTCTTACGTATTTGCAGGGCCTAAGATCACTGTGTTCCTGTACTTTCTGAACTTATCTTCTGCACATCTGAAAGAGATTAGAAGGCTCATTCAGGGCACCCAAGAGATGCATTCGGGACTATCTGAATAATATGACAGTGAAAAATATATATGCTACTTCTCAACTATTTCAGTTTATGATTTGCAAAAATATAACTATTTCCAGTTTGGTTAATGTAATGTAAAGTCAATGCACTCTAAGGGATACACAGAAAAGTCAATTTTACTACATCATCTCATCTACTTTCCCCATTTACTAAGCAAGAAACTAAGAGGAAGGTTGGAGATCTGAAAACCCCCCATTTATCTATTAGCTGCCAACACAGGCACATGGAAGCAGAGGGGCTTTCTATTCATTTCCTTTAAACAGTGAATGCAACGAGGTTATTGCTGTCAATGCTGTCGTTGATTGCTCTTGTGAGTTACTAAAATCTTACAGAGAGTGCCCAACCTAAAAGCAGAGGCCCTGAGTCAGACAGCAGTGCAAATCCCACCTCTGCTGCTTACTAGAAAGAGCACTTTAGGTCCATTTGGCACCTCTCTGTGCCTCAGTTTCTTAATTGTGAAATGGAGATGACAATTATAGCACCTGCCTCACAGGGCCAGTGTAAGCAATGATCTCCATTGTAAACTTTCAATAAATATTAGCTGTTATCATTCTGAAGGGGTTAAAAAGATATCACTTATTATGCTATACATTTCCTTACTAGATAATTTAGAAAATAACAATGGTCCAGAGGGAAAATGTAGTCTATAATTCCATCACCAAAAAAATAGCTATAGTTAATGTTTTGATATACAACTCTTGAGACTTCAGATTTAATACACTATCATGTAACCTAATTGTTTTTCTTTTAATATGTGAATATCTTTGAAGCATCCCACATTTTGTTTCATTAAGTCAATGAATGTGTGGGCAATTTCCAGTTTTCCTACTATTAGTAACAAACATTATATGCCAGAAACCACCCTAAGCATCTTCTACATATTAAGTAATTTATTTCTCATGGTAGCACAGACCTTACAAGGTAGGGACAATTATCAATCAGTCCCTTTTACAGACAAGATAGAGAAGTTGGGTGATACAAGCAATGATACAACTAATAAGAAGTGGGGCTAAGACTGGGACACAGGCTGTCTGACCCCAGGGTTTACGTTCTTAAATAAAGGCCTAACGTTCAATGTGTATACTTGCGCATACGAGTTTATATCTTTGTCTGTTTATTTCTTTAATAAATTCTTAAAGGTAGAAATTTTAAGCCAAAGAATATGCTCAATTTAAACATTCTTAATATTTCAACATTGTTAAATACTAAAGACTTTTAATCTTTTAATATTTAAGGTCTGCCCAATTGGCTGTCTCTGATGTCAAAGGGAATACTTGGACAAAGCAGGAAGAGTCATGCTTGAAACACTGAAGGGAACTTAAAGTATCATATCCAAGTCATCTTCATCAATACTGCCTTTGTTCCTTATCAATATTGTCTTTGATCAGCTGCTGCGGCTGGGAGAGCAGGATTCTGGGACTGAACAGACAGGATGAACTTGACCTTTAAGACACTGAGTGGAGCCAGTCCTGGTGCTGAGCAACCCCACAGCAAGGGACATTTTCCAGCTACAAACTATGCTGGCTGGCCTCCAGAAGTCCCGGTGCTTTTTCCTTTGGTAGTCTTGCTGGATCCTGCTGAGAGGAGTTACTTTATTCATAACGCTAGGGTACTAAGCATTCTCTGCATGGGACGGCGAGGCTGGGAATTAGGGAAGGAAAAATGGAAACAAAAAGAATATGTGCAAAGACTGATAGCTAGACTTATTTTTTTAAAGACAATGCCTGTGATTTGGTCTCTCAGGACGTTATTATTTTTGGCTGCCTTTAGGATACTGTGGAGTCCTCATACATCAGAACATCATGGGGCTCTGAGAACAGAGCAATCCCGATGTCTACAAAGCTGTATTAAGTCATTCTAAACCAGAGATTGATGCAACCCCAAACCTTCCTGTATCCTTGATGTGTCACCACAAAGCTATCAAATTAATTCAGGCTGGCCACCTATATCCCCACCTCAAACAGAGGCAGCAAATTAAAAAATAAAAATAAAAATAAAACAAAAGCCAGTCCCTCATCCTTTCATCATCTTATCCCTTGTCCCCACACACAGATACACAGATCTTTTATTTAAAGGTCTCTAGGGAGGAGAGATGAGCCATTTTCACTGAAGCCAAGCAGAGCTATTAGGGAGCAGCTGGAGCAGTGGACAGATGTAATTATAGAAGACACTGTCAAAGAAGCTGCTCTATAAAGCAGATTCAGTAGAATTGACTATTAGCTGCAAGGCTTTGGGGGGCCCAGGTTGACAAAAAAGTAAAAAGTCAAAGCTTGCTAATAGTGGTTCTGTTAAGGATTTGGGGAAACACCCTGATAAGAGTGAGTGAGAGTGTGAGTTGAAGGAACACACATAAAAAGAAAACTGTACTGCTAAGGATTTATCCTGCACAGAAGCATCCAAAAGGACAACCTAATTGTCTATCAGTAAGGACTCTGTATTCATGAAAAGGAGTGACATGAACCTGTGCTTGCTGAAGTAAAAAGATCTGAAAAGATCTGGAAAATCGGTTATTGGTTAAGAAAAACAAGATGAATGTGGGATATCTGCTTTTGTGTAAATAAATCATTAAGTGATATATAACCTGCTATCTACTTTTTTGGAGGGATTTAAAAAGACTTGTTAATAACAGTGGTTTCCCTTGGGAAGGGGACAGCGGGAATATAAAGAGACT